GGTAAAAGGTAATAAGGTAGGCAAGGATAGTAATAAATGCATCAACGGTTTCAATCAACTCCTACAACTTAATGCAACAATATATAAACTCATATATATAGAAAGAATTGCTTTTATAAATTAGGAGACTTATAATGCTCCGGGGCTTGCCTGGGATCCGACACAAGTCAGTTCAGTTAGCTTGCACCGTCCTGGTGACGTCTCAGGTCCTAGCACTCGCTTAGTCCTTCCATCTTCGGGATAGATCCTCCATACACCGTCGTTGGGTTCGGCTCCAACATCACGTTCTTCACGTGGTTCATCTAGCGCACCTAGATGAGATGCAAGATGCATGTGTATGAATGTGATGAATGGTAACACAAGATGCATCACATAAGCATTCAAGACAAACCCGCTTATTCACGACAATCATAGAGTCAAGGCTGCAAACAAAGAGTAGCTAATTTTACTCATAACATGAGTTGTACTAATCCAAAAGACATGCAACAAGACAATCTGGAAATATTATGAAATTTTCTACAATTCATCTTTAATCATCTCAGCATGATTCTCAAGTTAACTAAGTCAAATATACCCATTTACAGAAACTGATCCACAATTGACTGAAAACAGCCATTTCTGAAACCCAACTTTAAACAGGCATAACTCACAAACCACAAGGCCAAATACCCCCAAATTTTAATAGAAGCTAGATACATGAATTATCTACAGCTTTTGTATAAAGAAGTTTCACAACAAAGCACATTATCATGAAGAACTTTGCTAAGTTCCTAAATCGTTCCATAAACCACATTTGCAAGAAAATAAATATTAACTTATGTTGTAAACACATAATTAGGCAAAACCAACTTTACCAAAATATCACACATGACTAAAGAACACCAGAAAACCTAGTGTACATGACCAAATAAATTCTTTTAATACATTTCTTAATTTATTTTAGATAACAAGGTGACTTAATGAACATATACCAAAAGTGCACAATAACTTCTACAAAAATTACAGTAGCTCACATATACTCTCAATAGTCTAATGTATAAATTTTACTCCATTTGGATATGTATAGCAACCTCTATGAAAAGGACAAGTTGCTAAAGCAAGAAATCATGTGAGAGCAAGATAAACCAATAACTCACTCATGCAGCAACCAATGACCATGAAATTTTTACCACACATCAAACATCACATGAGTAGCATGCCACAAAAATTTCACTTCATTTGGAGCCCTACAACTGCAGTTATGAAAAAGACAAATACAACTAGAATTGAAAACCTAGATGCATAAATCTATTTTCACAGCTAAAACTTTAAACTAAAACCTGAAATATTATAAATCTACTGCATAGAAAATTTCACAAGGATTCCAAAAAGTCATTATTTGCTATTTTACGAATTTCCTATGATTTATTATGATTTTCTAAACTTTCAGCCGATTTAAAACAAATAGGTCCCTAGGAGCACTATTCACATGAGTCACAACTTCGCAGAAAGAACCTCCCCTTACATCAAATTCTTGCACGATGTCCCTGGTCGGAAACCAGAGCAGAGGATGGCCGGGAACGGCGACTCTAGCCGGTGGGGCTCCTCCCGGCGACGGCGGCGTGCCATGCCACGGCCAAAGGGGCTCTGCTTAACCCGAGGGGGGCACAAAAGACCGATGGAGAGGGCCCATAGACGGCCGGCCCACGAAGCGGGTGGCTCGAGCCCGCCGAATCGGCGGCGGCGGCGGCGCCTCCGGCGGCTGAAGAGACGACAGAGAGGCGAGGGAGGACGTATAGTCCCGCGTCGTCGATGGAGAGCTCTGTCAGCGCAGCAGGAGGGTTAGGAGAGGGAGAGGCGGCAAGGCATGTGAAGCTTGGCGACGGCGTTATGGCGGCTCCGCTTCTGGTGCGGCCAGAGCGCGAAGCGAGAGAGCGAAGAAGGAAGGGCAGCTCTGGCGCTTTCGCTCGTTAAGGAGGAGTAGGGCATCGCGCGGCAGCTGGTGGCACTGGGGTAGGGCGCGTCGACAAACCGCGCCACACGGCAATGGTGGGGCGCATACGGTGCATGGCGCCCACGAAGACAAATCTGTCGAGCACGTGGCGCGCGCGATGGAGCCCGACTTGGAGTCCGCTTTTCTTATTCCGTGCACATTCGGACCTTGGCGCCCGAGAGTAAAGTTGCTCTACTCTGGATGCTCTACAAACTTGATTAAGGCTGTATGGTCGTTAGAGCTCTTCATCGATGAGGTAATTAAGCCACAAAATGACAAAGTCGGTGCCTTTGATAGCGGTTAAGAAAACGCAAAATTGAGGACCAAAACGGAGTCAAACTTAGCCCAACTTTTTATATGCTCTTCTCCATAATATAACCTTCAACTTTTATTTTTAAACCAACTCAAGTTGCTTAGAAAAATTTGGAGAACGCAGAATGCCAACGTCGTTGCTTAGCTTAAACCGACTTAGAATAATTCTAAGTGTTGAAATCAAGACGGGAGTTCCAACTTCGAGCCTCTGTTTGACTTATTTCCAAGTTGATCTAGCTCTTGGTCCAAAAACAAAGTTTGTTATACATAACATGGAATACAACTTTTATTTAGGTTCCACTGCCATGGAAACACTCTAAGGTGCAGTTCAAACCATGTCAACGCAGCATCACGATAAAGCTTAAATTACCCTTTTTGATCTATTGGAGAATTTTCTGGCCACTTGCTCAACACGAACCCTTCATAACTTTTGTTCATGAGTGTAAGTAGAGTTATTTGAGTAAGGTTGCAATGTTTGTTTGTCATCATATGTTCTCATTCACCTAATAAAGCAATTTAGACAAGGACATAACTTGTCATTTCATGTGACTTCTCGATTCCAAACTTCATGAAACTTTTCCAATCATCCATGTGGGTGGAAATTGATGTGAGGCACATGAAAGAAGTAGATCCAACATTACTCAAACATACTTTTTGGAAAGGGCAACATGTAAGCAATGGTGCATGGTCCAAGTTTAAGTGGTGGCTCATTTTTGTAGATTTGATCTTTCACCACTTAACATGTCATGGTTGAGCTCAACTGGTAACAAACACCTGGGGTGTTACAACCTCGAGGCAAAGTGTCCCATATCTCCACATTTGAAGCACTTGATGTGAGCATAGACTTTTTTTTTCATTTTCATTATTGCTCATCATCTTGGCATCTTGAATTTGTATTGGATGCCTTGCTTTTCCACCCCTTCTTGTTTTCTTCTTCTTCTTCTTCTTCATCAAGTCACCACCATCTTCATGGTTGATCTTGATTTGCTCTTGGGGTGTCTTCTCTTGCTCATCTTGTGGCTTTGATTGAGGCTGTTCTTGTTGCTTCACCAATTACTTAGTTGGACACATTGAGGTAAGGTGACCCCAAGCTCTGATATGACTTGTACGATTGAGATGGCGGACTAGAGGGGGTGAATAGTCATTTCTAAATTTAATCATGCCGGCTAACCGAAACAAATGCGGAATTAAAACAATCAGTCGAGCCAAGACTACACCCCTCTATCTAAGTTCACAAGCACCTTAAAAGATCCTAATCAAGTAACTAAGGTGTCGGACTAGCTAGAGCTCACCTAATCAATTCTAGAGCGAGGTCACACAAACTTATGCACTAGTACTTCACACAACCGGGGAAGCTTCTACATAACTAGTGATGCAAAAGCACAAAGCCACCTAAGCTCACTAGCAATGCTCAATAATAAGGCTACACAAGCCAAATTAGAGAGCTCAAATTACTTAGCTACACAAACTAAGCAATGTGACTAACAATGTTACTAAAACCAAATTAGCCACGAAAGGGAGCTACTTCTATGCTACATAAGCAAGAAAGTAATTAGCAAGCTACACAAGCAAACTAATTACAAGAGCAACTACACAAGCACAATGTATAAAATATAAATACAAGCTTGTGTTTCGCGGAATGCAAACCACCGAGAAGATGATGAAGACAATGTTCACACTGTGATTTTCTCCCGAGATTCACTTGGTTGCCACCAAGCTACGTCCCCGTTGCGTCGATCGCTCACTTGGTGGTTCGGCAGCTAATTAGCATCACTCGCCAAGCCCGCACGTCGGGCACCGCAAGAACCTACCCTGAAAGTGAGGGTAGTTCAATGACACGCTAATTAGCATCACTCGCCAAGCCCGCACAAAGTTCACTTTTGGGGTAGGTTCTTGCGGTGCCCAAGGTGTGGGCTTGGCGGGTGATGTCAATTAGCCGCCGAACCACCAAGTGAGCGGTCGACACAACAGGGACTAGTTTGGTGGCAACCAAGTAAACCTCAGGATAAAAATCACCGTGTCATCCTTGTTTTCTCGTTGGTTTGCATCCCTATTACACAAGCTTATATTTACTTTCATCTACATTGTGCTTGTGTAGTTGCTCTTGTAATTAGCTTGTGTAGTTTGTTAGTTATCTTCTTGCTTGTATAGCACAGAAGTAGCTCCCTTGTGTGCCTAATTGGTTTGAGTAGCCTTGTTAGTCACATTGCTTAATTTGTGTAGCTAAGTAATTTACGCTCTCTAATTTAGCTTGTGTAGCATTGTTATTGAGCATTTCTAGTGAGTTTAGGAGCTTTGTGCTTTGTGCTTACTAGATTGTGTAGGAGCTTTCCCGGTTGCCAAAGTATTAGTTGCATACATTTGTGTGATCTTACTAGTAGAATTGTTTAGGTGAGCTCTATCTAGCCCGGCACCTTTGTTGCCTAATTAGAATACTTTTAAGGTGCTTGAGAACTTAGATAGAGGGGTGTAGACTTGAGTAGAACGATAGTTTTAATTTCGCATTTATTTCGTTTAGCAGGTGCAATTAATTTTAGAAAGGACTATTCACCCCTCTAGTGCATCATCTCGATCCTACACCTGGAAATTTCCTGAAGAAAAACTCATTATTGATGGTGCTTCAGATTGGTTACTGCTAACACTTACTTATTGTAGCAATATCATGCGAGATAATTTGCTTTTGCTTTTGTGGAGAGCCTGGTATGCCCGTAACCAAATGAAGCATGAAGGTAGGCAAATGCCAATTGAGGGCTTCGTTCATTTTCCGATCAGTTACAAAGCTTCATTGTTACAAATCTGGCAAAAACATCAGCTTGGGGATGACAAGGACAAACAAACAGTGTGTACATCAAAAAATGGAAGGGTCTCTTCTGCTGGGATTTCCACCTACAGCTGGAAACCTCCTCAACCAGGTAGGGTGAAGATTAATGTTGATGCTTCATTTTACAAGGAAACCAATATAGCAGGCCTTGGAATTATAGCGAGGGATGAAAAAGGAAATGTGATTCTAGCTGCGACAAAAGTTCAGTTTGACTGTTTTGATGCTGAGGAGGCTGAATTACTTGCCTGCAGGGAGGCTCATCTTCTAGCTATACAGTGGATACCTGATCCAGTCACTGTTGAAACTGACTGTTATGTCATTTTTCAGGCCTTGAACTCACTAAGTGAAAATAGGTCCCGTCTAGCCCAAGTAAAGGAAACACGAGCGCTCACGGATGAGCTTCAGGAAGCTGAGTTTGTTCTAACAAAGAGAGAACAGAATAGGGTTGCTGATCTTTTAACAAAACATACTTGTAAAGACTTGTCTTCAGCATTATGGCTGCGACATGTACCTGATTTTGCTGTAACTTTAGTGGCAAACGATGTAACCCTTCCTGATTAATAAAGCTCAGCCTTTCTCGCAAAAAAAAGTAGATGCGGTGCCCTATCAGATTTATGCCTCTTATTTGGCACGCCTAGCCCGCTCTGTCTCAGTTAGGCTATTTTTCATGCGGAAAGAGTATCCGAGTATCCGGGTACTAATATACAGACAGCAGCCTCGAGCTTTTGTGCTATTTGGAGAATTGGGTGAAGAATTAGTCTTGTTGCTGGGACTAGCGGGGCCGTGCCCCCCTATACTTCAGAATTTTTTATAACACTCCCTGTGCTTTAGGCATCACATATACGTGATGCCTAAAGCACAGGGAGTGTTATAAAAAATTCTGAAGTATAGGGGGGCACGGCCCCGCTAGTCCCAGCAACAAGACTTAGGGATGAAAACGGATCGGATACGGACGAATATCACCGATATTACATTTGTTTTCATATTTCTGTTCGGATTTGGATTCGAATACGGATAGTGTCAACTATGTCGGATATGATACGATTGGATATCGACATCATAAATATGTGATTTGAGTATTCGGATACGGATACGGTATCGGATGTTGGATATCCGGACTCGGATACGGACAGATCACAACCTCTCTAAACGGATTCGGTTTCGAATACGGTCGGAAAATATCCGTACCGTTTTCATCCCTACGTATATGGCTCCTCCATTACTTGAATGCTATACTTCTATAAGATAAAATGCATACACATATGCATAGAGAATGAACAGAAGCTCTTATGTTTCTAAGGGAAGAAATAGCGTTTTTCTCTCACAATAAATCAGCGAACAGTACTTTTCGGTTTGTCTTTTCAGCGAAGCGAACAGGGCCTTTGTCTTATAAGCCGTACTTTTTCAGCAAAAGAATATTATTTTTCTCCCATAACAAATTAGCGAACAGTACTTTCAGCTTGTCTTTTCAGCAAAGCGAACAGGGCTATACGCTGCGCCTCCGTACGCCTGGTGGAGTGGTAGTTGGTCCAGGTCACCTTTGGGCATAGATAGTAACATATTTTGAAGTTCGATACAATTGTAATGACACTATCCCAGTTTCTTTAGTTTCAATAGTGCACCTCAAAAACAGTGAATTATTTATAATGGTATTTAAAACAAAATTCAAATAATTCCAAACTGGCTACCATACGTAAAATATGATTTTAGGAAAAAAAACTTTAAATATAGTTTTATATTTTCAAGCTAAAACAAAATTTAGAATTATCCAGATTACACCAGATTCTATGATTTTCAATTGCATATTTTTTTTAAAAGTTTTGATATTTTTAAAATGTCTCTATATTTTTTCTGATAAGATATCCATCGTGCTGACATAATGCTATATAGGACGGCCGATATTGTGTCAACCAAAATCATATAGGGGCAAATTAGAACGGTTTCTAAAGCGGAGATCAAAAACCGTTTTAAATTGAGGGAGGTAAATGTAGAGGAGATAAAAACAGTCTTTTAATCGGGGGAGGTAAATCGATTTCAACAAAAAAATGGGGAGGTTAAATGGACTTTACTCGGTGGGTGACCGGTTGACCGCCGCCACCTTAGTCCAAGGGTAGGGACACAATCGCGCAAATGTTGCGAGCGGCGGCGTCGAGGTGCGCCCGCGGTGCCGTCCGGCGGCTGTCGTCGTCTGCGGCGGCGGAGGCTTCACCAGTCGCTGTGGGGTCGCGGCGGAATCCTCTCGTCGACGAGGGTGACTGGTCGTACTATCGGGAGTGGTGGGGCGAGGAGGACGGCCCCGGCGAGGGGGCGCAGACCGTCTTCCGCCGCTACTCCGAGTGCGGCAACGGCGTCGTCTCCGTCTCCGCCTACCCCGCTTCCCGTCCGGTAGCCACCGGCTCCTTTTCCTGCTTGGCTGCTTGGTTTAGCAGTACCCTACCTGAAAATTTAGGGGGCCTGCACGAAATATGTTACTCTTTCCATCCATCATTGTACTGTACAGTATATTTTAGTATAAATATGGTCTTCGAAACTAGATCGTGATCTTTAATTTTTCTTACAACTCATTATTGTCGGTTGCTACAAAATCAAATGATATTAACGATTTGAAATGCAGATATGTTAAACCATATAGGCCCAGGCCTACCCTAGATTTTGGGCCAAATTATTAGTACTGTTAGATTTTGAAGGTCTACTAAAAAAGTGCAACATCGTTAAGTACTTTTGTCTCCAGATCACCATATACTATATGTGTATATATGACTTGACTAATATTGATCAAAACATATGAAGTTTGACCTTCTCAAATCATATGCATCATAATGTTGAGTAGTAACTAGACATAATATTTTTTATTAAATATATGAAATTGTAATTTGATTTTTTTTAATAATGCAACGATTATATCACTGTACCCCTAGTCATTATTAGATTCATATTGATTCTCTTAGGTGGCTTGAGCTTCTTTTACCAGAAATGACAAAGTGGACTCTTTAGTTTGAGGCTTTGAGCTAATACTTTCCATAACCAGAATAACTTTGGAAGACAGTTAAACACAGCTCCTGAGTGATAAGTTGACTAGGGGACTTTTGAGAGAAAATTTATTTGCACAGACAAGCTTCCTTTAGCAAGGAGATTTAGGAGTTCATAAGACAGTAAAGGAAGTGCTTAATGTGTTGATGCTTGGGTGCATCAGTAGGAACACCTAGACTGATTAAACATGAATGTGCCACTACCCATTCTGCTAATCAGTATTAATACTAAATTACAATTTTATAACAAATTTTGGGCTCCCATGGCTCTGCGAGCACTTATGCTGCACTTCTTAATATACTGTGCTGATGCTCTGAAAGCTAGTGAATAACATGGTTTACTGGGAGGAAAAAGAATACTGAAGAGTACTTATTAACCCCAGCAACTTAGATTTCTTCTCTCAGCAGACTGGCTATTTTTGAGATTATTGCTTGTTCCAGGAAAAAAATGTGTGGTCTTCACCTACTCTTTTACAGGGCACAATGCTTGTTGAAAAAATGTGATGGCCTAATTTTCTAGGGCTTTCCTGTGCAACATACCATGGGTGCTGCACTTTTTAATACCATTTTTTATTTTCAGTTTCTTTAGTCAATTTATTGTCTGGACTCATTGAAACACAACTTGTTATCCGGTGTCAGGCTAGTGAGCATTGGCCAGCCACGGAGAGATGGCTTCAAGAAAGAAATGCAAGACTATACCCAGAATCAGCTAGTTCTGATCAGTTTAAGGTACTAGGCTATCAGTGGCGAGTGATGCGTTTTAATGACCATACACGGCAAAGCACTGCAAAAGTGATGACATGTTATAGGACTTCGGGTCAGAGATCATTGTTCTTGATGCAGCAACCACATGTTTTAGTTCCTTGTGAGTTCACTTGTACCATCTTGCATTCATTATGATGGCATGTTCATTTTGTTCAGTTAACTTCATCTATTCATTTAGGGAGATTGATGTTCGTGCCCCTTTGAAGGCCAATTTTGATTATATCCTCGTTTTCCTAACTTTGTGATTTTACTCTCATTTTTTGAATCCGAAGCCACCGTTTGCCCATGTTGTAGACTAGGCCGAACAAATGAATTAAAGAAAAAGAACAAAATATTCAAACACAATTCTACCCGTAACCTTATCCTAACCGTCCTGGTTCTGCCGATGGTTGATTAAGCATGTGCAACTTGTTAAACTTTGCTCAGATTTGAAATATTTGCATTTTCTTTTGTAAAAATTCTTTCAGAATGATGCACAAATATATAATGTCAAAATAGAGGGTAAAATCACAGAGTGCTCAAAAAACTAGGGGCAGATTCAAATGGGCAAACTAGTCCTTTTTGAGCTGAACAGACACCGTTAACTCCCCTTTACAGAAAGGGTAAACTCTGCCTTCGCTTTGAAAATGCAGGAACAAAATCACAAAGTTAAATAAATGAGGGCAAAATCACTATTGGACTTCAAAACAGGGGTAAGAACACAAGAGCCCCTGTTCTTTTATGTCTGCTAATCTACAATTTAGAAAGAGCCATTCTTGAACATAACACAAGCATAACCATTTACATACCAGTCATACAGTCAAAATATACTAGTAGCATGCATGGTTTCCCTGATTATTTCTTAATTGCTACTGTTAAATTTTATAATACTTGCATATGTTTTATTGGTAAGTTTGCATGCACTGAGCTATCAGATGCAAATGCAATGCAATTAGTGTTTATGTTTGTGCTGTATCTTTTACCTCAACACCATCATACACTTCTGAAAGTTGTTATTTTCAGATGTCAAGAGTATGGTATCAGCAGGATTGACAGCGCTTCCTTGTTCTTCATATGATCTTCCACAAGCAGCATCTGGACAGAACACTATGAAAATTCTGTGCATCGGCCATGGTGGCGGAACCTTACCATTGTTTTTGGCTAGCAAGTTCAGAGGTAAACACTATCACAATCTTCAGCTATTCATAGTATTGATACATTTGCAGTGCAACTTCCCACTTGCGTTATACTTTGTTTACTGCATACTGTAGTAAAGTGAAACCTTTCCAGCATTAGGGTTTTATTGCAATTTCTTGCTTATGCTTCGTTTCCTATGTATGTTGATGAAGTGAATTTTTCCTGTCTTAGTTGGTTGACTCGTATCTTGACACCTGATTCGTTGAACTTCAGAATTACTATTAAACTAGGTAGCGTGCCCGTGCGTTGCTACGGGACAACTAAATCTTTTGTACTAAAAACACACGGATAGCACGATAAGATAACAATACTGTTAAATTAAATACTGACGTCAAAGTGACATTTAATTCAAAAAGCAAAGTTCGTGAAATTAACACAGTCACAGAGAGCGCGACGTCGCAGGCTCACAAACTCTACTGTATAGACTTTTTCGTGATACGGCTAAGATAATATTTTATATCGGCAAAAGGAATTCTACGATATCTATTTCTTTCGTGCGTCAATAAATCCATGAATAAGTTTCGCTACATCTCTATATAATTATGTACACACAGGTTCGAGTATATACGCAAATAGGTTCGTGCCCATGCGTTGCTACGGGACAGCTAAACTTTTGTACTAAAAACACACGGATCGCACGATAAGATAACAATACTGTAAAAGTATATGACCGACGTTAAAGTGATATTTAATCCAAAAAGCTAAGTTCGTGAAATTTACACAGTCACAGAGAGCGTGGCGTCGCAGGCTCACAAACTCTACTGTGTAAATCTTTCCGTGATACGGCTAAGGTCATTTTTTATACCAGCAGGAAGAGATTTTCGATATCCATTTCTTTCGTGCGCCAACAAATCCACGAATAAGTTCCACCACATCTCCATACCATCCTGTACACGGCGCTGGCAAGCGAATTAGCCACAACTTATGTAATTAGTTTTATAATTAGCTCATGTTTAGTCCTCCTAATTGATATCTAAAAATTCAATGTGACAGGAACTAAAGTTTAGTCTTGGGATCCAAACACCCCCTGACTCTCGACTCCTGCTGGCTGCTCACTTGCACCACCATGGCTATGTGTCAGCACGTATATACTCTAATGCCAGAACATCTAAGATGGTCTTTATTGTCCACCCTTTGAAAATATCATAACTTTAAGGTTGCCATTTGTGTATGCTGTAGGATTGGGATGCTTTGCATTGATCCATGAGGGTGTCCATGAGAGTCGAAAATTTTTATGTCATTATGATGTCTAAGCTTACCAATCAGACAGAGATGAACTTGATTGTTAAAATATTTTCAACACTGCTTTCATATACTCCATCTGTTCCAATATAGAATTCATTCTCGTTTCCCGAGAAGTTAACTTTTTTTTAACTTCGACCAATTATATATAAAAGAATATTAATATTTATAATACATAACTAGTATCATTACATAGAACATTGAATATATTTTCATAATAAACTTATTAGGAGATATAAATGTTGCACGTATTTTTTACAAACCTAGTCAAAGTTGAGAAAGTTTGACCTGCACGCATCCCATAACGACTTATATTTTGAGACAGAGGAAATATATGCTAATGAGAGTAGTCAACTAGAAGTCGTAATGAACATAACAATACTTTCATATTATATGCTAAAGGGAGCACGAAGAAACGCAGGGGAATGGACCTATATACTAATAGAGGGAATATTCGTTTAGGAAATTGCAGAAGGTTCACCAGTCTCACCATGTATAACCTGCACATCTTTTATTTGGCACCACTGATGTTCTCAAGGAGTAGCCACTTTTTAATTTCAGGTCTGCGTACTGGAAACACTAAAATTAAGGGCCAACCTCATTGAGTCGTCTTGCTTGATCTTTGCCAATTGTCTTGCTTGAGCTTTGCGAACAAATTATACCATTGGCAAAGACTAACACATAAAGAGGTAGAAGTTGCAAGAATACGCTAGGTGGCCTACTATGCACCCAGCCTAAATTTAATACCCTCTAAATTATGGACAATATCATATGAACTGTTGTAACCGACATGTTAACTCCATCATGTAGTACACCTAAGTATTGAATATGCACATGCATAGTTTTTTTATTATCATAGAATATATTTTTGTCCTATGAGACAACATAGGTTTTTTTCTAAGTGATAGCAGAGAGCCCCAAAATATTAGACAGAAACTCTCATTTTGCTATCTCTGCATCTGCTAAAAATTTAGTTGAAGTTTAGTTAATCCATGGAATAATTTGGATTGTGCCTTTCGTACTGCCCCCAACAATTCTTTTACCAAGCATATACAAAATCTAGTTAACGGCATTCGATCCACAATCAATATTCATTACCTTGGTATCCGAGGATCATAATACAAAAGGTTTGCCGAGTGCCTGAGATTTGACACTTGGCAAACGCGCCGTGACCGTTTCCACTCCGTCACGTTACTTTTTTTCGCCGAGTGTCGGTTTCAGTTCTCGGCAAAGTCTTTGCCGAGTGCCTGATAGAAAACACTCGGCAAAGAGCCGTTTGCCGGCACTGTAGATGTCGTGTGCTGTTTGTCGAGTGTTATACTCGGCAAATCCTTTGCCGAGTGTTTTTTGGGCTTTGCCGAGTGCCTGTGGCACACAGCAAAGCGACTGTTTCCGGTAGTGGTAGTGACCTATAGCACAACTGGTAACCTGGCACGTCGACGATAATTGTGTAGGAAAAGTAAATTTGGCATTCTACATGCTATTGAGACATCTTTGGCTTAACTGCAGTTGCTTCAGCTTTCTCCCACACAAATTCTTCAACAAGCTAAGGTGCACCAGAAGCCACTGCATCATAATCTGAAAGGACCTGCAACATTTACACAAAAAAAATTATCCTATTGAAACTAACAAATTGTAAAATCTTGTGTTGAATTCTGTTGAATTACTCCATAAAAATCTCACACCGTGCTCTTGGATTAGTGCATATCAATGAAGATCTCTTCCCATGTTGCTTGGAAAGACAATCCAGAGACTACACCAATAGGCAAAAAGTCCACAACTTAGAGATTCTGTTTTTTTTTCAAACAAGCATATTTAGTCCAATCATCTATGACTATTAGGACCTGTGATGTTCCAAACTTTTCAACTACCACTGCTGTTCCAGCTCCAGCCCTGCTTATTAGCTGTGAAAAGTTCTGAAGGTCTACCCTTCAGAAAACTGCAAATATGATAGAAAATGCAGATTGCAACTGATATCTAGATGTGTCCACTCTTAGTGCCACAAATGTTGCTTAAGTTTCATCAACATGCTCTAATTTTTTTGTGTGAAGCTGACGATTCAGTTTTGCTATACTTCACTTTGCATAGCACTATGTTCCCTCCTCCCTCCCTCTCTCTCTCGTGTTAGAAACTTAAACTGCAGTATGCGTAACTAAAGGTTTAGGTGCCTCTGCTGGATCAATTATTGTTGGTTGAAAGGCTTTCATTGATGAGGCCTGATCAATTGTGTCTCAAGTATAAAGTTCAATGATTTCTTTTCTAAGAGGAAAAAGAACTGGACAGATCAAGTAGCAAAGGAAATCTGAATAATATATACCTCCAGGCAAGGAAAGGAATGCATAAGATGTAAGATTCTTTGAAGAACAATAGTATTTTAAAAATTTATATCGTGTTTTGAACATTTCTGCCAGGCCAACAATCTCATCCTTGGATGAGTTTTCTTCGATGCAAATAAAAGACATGAATTAAAGTCTCTGATATAGCTTGGAAATAAACTGTTGAATGTTTCATGTACAGCTCTCTACCCTGCAAATAAAAGACAATATGCATAAGCTAGCAGTAGATCTCAAGGGGGCACGCTGGCTAAAGGATGCAGCATTACGGCTATTACCTAGCCATGTACTTGTTGGTGAGAATTTATATAAATATAAAGAATGAAAAAGACGACTAGAAAGATTGGCATTAGGCCAACTTCTTTTGATTCTTTACAAACACATCTGAAAGTTAACATGTGGGTTGTGGGCATTAAATCAAAACAACAAAAAGAACATGGATTGTCAATCTTATCAACACCATCAAATTTTGTCAACTGTAGAACTCAACCAAGACACCTATTGAAGTGCTACATCCTTAGCTTGCAACCCAATTAAGAGTAAGTTCTCGCAACCCTAGCTCCCAGCCATTATTAAACTGCATGAAGGGCTCCGAAATAAAGACCACTATTTGAAAAAAGAGTAAATGATAATCCCAATCAACTAATTGTCTTAACTTTATTTTCTTGGAAAAAAACAGTTTATGCAATTCAATAATAGTAAAAAAAGCAGGTTGGTACGGAGAGACCTGCGCATGGACATCTTGACATACTGATTCTCCAAATTTCCCATCCAGCTCACCCTAGCATCCGCTGGAGCACCTGAGCCGGTGCCACCACTTATTCTCGCAACCGCCACCACCGGGAGTCCTTGATTGACGAGTATCAATGCTTTGAACGAAAATGTATTGCACAATCGCTTTTCAAGTACACGACTCCTAATACTATTTATATTCAGATTCAATTATGAATATCCAAAGGATCGATGATAGTGAAAAACTAATTTATTGCACAACCGAACTGAATTTGCTTGAACTCTAACAAACAACCATTAGTCCGAGAATAGAAACAAAAGGGCAATGGCGGCTACACTTACGTCAAGCAAGTCGGCGTTGATCCTAAACTTCCATGATGGCGGACCAATTCCGTCGCTCGAGTTGTCGCCACTCGTGCCTTCTTGTCCAAAGCAGATCAAACAAGAATACACCAGAGCCATCTGCAACAACGCACGGCTTAGTCTGATCCCTCGTGGCGGTGTATCGAGAAATAAATAAAATAATACACCGAACCGTGATGCTTGTTGATGGATCTCGCTACCACGTGACTCCCTCAACCTTGTTGCCGCTGGATCCTATGGACCTCGCCCCGGTGGAGAGGGCATCACAGAGGAGGACGGCACGGGAGGAGATCTTAATAGCAACGGTGAGGATAGGGAGAGGTAGGATGCAGTCATATGAGCAGGTTCCAATAGCACCTCGTTCACACAGAAACATGATTAAATAAAATTTGCATAATCTCAAATATGCAAATGATCATCTTATAGTAGTGTTTCTCATGATTATCATGAAATCATTGGTGAGTAAGGAAATTGAAGGAAAAAAAGTTATCATCCGAATAAGATGAAATCATAAACCGCTTTGATAAAGCGATTGCGCCGCCGCTTCCAAGCGCGCATCATCGTCGAGGGCCTCTACGCAGCTCGTCCGGACGGCGATCGGCGTCGGCAACATGGTCGTCGGATGAGGAGGGGGCGTTCGGCGGCGTCGAGGGCCGGATTAGGCGTCGTGGCGTCCGGCCGACAAGTGCCTGGCGTGCGGCGGCGGCGGCGGGGCGTTGTGGTGTCCAGCGTCTTCTGCGGGGTGGCGTGGATTCGCGAGAGCGCACCACGGGAAGGACAGGAGGGGCGCGTCGATGTTGGCCTCGCGTCAATCGACGATCCGGTTTACGTGGAGATGAAAGATATCTGACCGAGCGAGAGAGGGGCACCGCATGATTGTTTTCTTCCATGCATGATTATTGTTTCCTTCCATGTATGTGGCCTCAGGTGATCGATTTGTTTTCTTCAAAGCAGGCGGAGATCGTAGGGATGACAGTTTCTTTTTCTATCGTACGGGGTATCGCACGGCCGGAAGGGAGGAGCGACCCACAAAAAAAAAGTCGCACCAAAAAATTGTCTGTCTTTTGTTCTTTTTAGTTGTAGGAGATTGCATATAGACGATTGACTGAAAAAAGTGCATCCCCTGTGTCAGACTGCTTGAAGTCAAATCATTTCTTTTGTTCTAACGTGTTATGCGTTGTGCAGATACACCTGTAGATATTTTGGGCCTCCGCTACATTATAATGCCTGATTCGCAATTTGGCCCTTTCAGGTGCTACCATCCACATTGTGGAGATTGATCCAGTGGTTGTTTCAGCTTCAATTGAATCCATGGGTTTCCCCATGTCATCTGTTAAAGGCTTATCGTCTGAGTCCATGCTACCTGCCGACGCTGATGATCTATTATGGGGAGGCATACATGACCGCATTTTCCTGCACATAGCAGACGCTGAGGATTTCATCGCCAACGACAGCAACGAATATGACATTGTCTTCATCGACGCCTACGACGGAGACGACGTATTTCCTCGCAAGCTCTGGGACGTCGACGGGGCATTCATGAAGAACCTAGAGAAGAAAGTGCACCCCATCCACGGCGCCGTGGTCGTGAACTTGCACTCCGATTCAGAGCTGCCAGCCTCCGAGGCAGAAGGCAATGCCGATTTCCAGAGCATACTTCCCATGGGCAGGCACGTCTCCCAGGTCTGCAGGGCTTACAAGCAGCACTTTGGGCTGGCCTTCACAGCCGCCGTTCCGTGGCTCTGCAACATCACTCTCGTCGCCTGCCGTGACAAGGGGATGACGAGCGGCGCGTGCCTGGGGCTGAGCCACCGGGATTTCGTTCTTGGCAAGCTTCTGTCGAGATCCGATATGGTGGAGCGTGCGCTGGACCTGCCGTTCCCATGCCTGCCGTACATCAAGAACGGTTTTACGATGGTTCACTGATATGCATGCGTTTTCTGTGGAATTTGATTATCTGAATGGTATGTTTTGAGCTGGAAATCACCTTTTTTTATAACTTGCTGGGAATCACCTTGTTTTCTCCTCGAAAATGTCTGCGGAGCATGTCTCTTGCAGTCTTGCAGATATCCTGTTGATCGTAGCTCGTGCAGTGGTTCCGTTGTACTAGTAGTCAGCAGGTACCGATGGCAGGTGCTGGGGCACTGGCACAGGTACCCAAGGCTTTGTGAGGACTGCTTGAAAAGCTGTGCTGTCACCAAACCAGCTAGCAGTAAACGATCGTAAATTTTCAGTCAGAACAGTATTTTTCTCTCACACTAAACCAGCCAGCAGTAATAATCCATGATCGTATACGATCGTTTCAGCCCCACCCGAACAAGCTGGCTTGCTCTGTCGTTTCATTTTTTTTTCTCCCTCTCGTGAAGCTATATGGCTGGATGTATCAGTGTGACGCGTGGTGATTCAGTTGTAAGTACTCCGTAGTTTTGTCACAGCATTCAGTACATTGGTCAGCAGTGGACGGACGAATTCGCAAGAGTGGACTGGAGCTTTCCTCCACCGATCAATCGGAGGCGATCGAGGACCCGTTGCTTGCGAGCTCTGGTTCTGGAGCTGCGTCGTGGCCGTGGACTCGTAGGCGTAGGAGGGAGGAGTCCAAGTCTCCAACTGGTACAAGGCCCAACGCCGACGCGTTACAAAAGGTAGCTGCACAGAGGAAACGGCCCGACACATCCTGCAGGCCCCCGCACGGGCGCACGGCTCGTCGCTGCTACAGCATACAGCAGTCCTACACGGTGGCGGGTTGGAGCGTTGCTGCCGCCGCCCGTCGGTCCCGGCCCCGAGTCTTGAGGGTCGTCGCGGCCTGGCGACGGGAGGAAAAGGAAAGGTGGTTCACAATTCACAAAAGACTCCAACGACTGTGATAACGTGATCCCGGCAACCGTATGAGCGGATAGAGAACTCGGTGTCACACGGCATGGCAGTTTATTAATTTTATAATTTTTGGCTCGCCAGAAGTCGTGGCCGCCGCAGCAGGGCCAGCGGCGCGCACGTGAGGTACATTAAACCGGACGCCGACGTGCATCTAGCATGGCAGCCCACGAGGTGCTTGCGGTTGCCGATAAAGACCGCGTACGTTACAGGCCAAATGCGGTTGACAAATGGCAGAGGCCTCTAGTCCAAAACAAAAGCGGGGTCTAGCTAGTCCATTGCCCTTAAGCTGCCGCCGGCGGCCGTGGTTGCATGAATCACACGCGTGTTGCAAGAGAAGAGGTTGTTATCTGTCACGGAATGGGCCTTATGCCATGTGATTGGTCTACACTAGCTAATGGACCCGTAAGCCGACTTGTATGTCGCAGGGGTGTAATTCCTGGGCTTGGCCCAATATCATTTTGCACTATGTTAAAACTTGCTATGTGGGCGGTTGGGCGGACAACAATCAAGTAAAACCTAAATTTCCCAATCCTTCTTCTTCCTTCCGGTGCCGACCTGCTTTTGAGGCGGCGTTGCCGTGCTCCTCGCCGTGTGTATACGCCGGCAACACCATCTTGTATCTCCAGACCGTGGCATTATCCTTATCATCATGGGTCATCGATCTTGAGCTCCTTTTCTTTTTCTTACAAAATCGACAACGAGTCACATGCAATGCACCTAGTCGAGAACGCGTTAGCTCGTCAAAGAACGAATAGGCTGCCGAGTGCTGACCGATCGATCCATATAGCCAAGTGGCCTGCTGGTTCCATGTCACCATGATATATAAATCGAGACACGAGAGGTTAGATCTCGAGGAACAAAGCCTCCCTCGCCTTTTCCTCTCTCATGTGACAACTGAGAAGCCGATCGGAGGATGTTGCTGAGGAGCTCGTCCATGCCATTCCTGTACCCTTTCCTCTCCTCTTCCCCGTCGTCCCGCCGCTCCTCCTTGCACCTCCGCCATGCCTTCTCCGACGGCCACCTCCCCTCCCTCCACCTGTCGTCGTGGTCCACCCCCAACGACGCCAGCAGCAACCCCAGCGGCGGCCTGCACACCGAGCTCTCCTTCTCCATCTACAAAACCTTCGATGGCAAGGGCGAGGTCGTAGCCGCACCGCTGGCGTCGTCGTCGTCGTCCCAGGGACTGGCGGCTCAGCAGGAGCATCAAGAGGAAGGGGTGATAGACTTGTAGGACCTCTAGGTGCAGATCAGTGGAGAAATTTTTAACTTAAATAAGCAGACTTGGTAATGTACCTCGTCGAGTGCAGTCGCGGCCGTGGCGCCACCAACAAGGTGGCCGCGACGTGTCAGTGTAGGGGAAGCCGTGCAGACTCCCACTAGGTCATCGACGGTAGCAGCAGCGTAGGCGCGGACCAGCGGCGACGGTGAAGGCGGTGTGGACTTCCCATCGCTTACAGTGCGTCCTTCTAGATCGGACTAGGGCTAGGAACCTCGGTGGGGCGCTGGTGGCTACGGTGAACCTCGTACCTTGCGCCCCGGCCCCCACCTTCCTCTTTATAGTGCTGCGCGACGGGGTCCATCAGCTAGGAGAACGACTGGGCGCCCCCGATCAGGGCGCGGATCAAGGGCCCAATTGGCCGTTGGGCCAACTGGTGGAGATCAGTCTAATATTCTCCCCCTTGATCCCACCTTATGACTTAAACTTAACTTACTTTATCTTTTTTCCTATTCCATCGCATATCAGTGCATAGAGCGTGCCTCATCGTCACGGTCAGTTGCCATTAGATTAAACAACTACAATGCACCTTTCTATTTTGAAACAGATTCTCAACTAGGCCTTAGTATCCAGAAATCATAGGCTCTTCCATAAACCCATGTCGACTATGTGTTCTCTGAACGCACTGGGTGGTTAGCCTTTGGTAAGCGGATCCGCAAGTACTTGCTTGGTATTTATATGCTCAATGCTTACAAAATGATTCTGAATTTTCTCCTTTACAACATATAACTTAATGTCAATGTGTTTGGCAGCACACTTGATTTGTTGTCTTAGGAGTTAACTACTTTAAATGGTTATTGCTGTTGACTACCATTGTTAAATCCGGGTATATATTCCCTTAACCACTTTTGCTTGTTTTGGAGACCTCATTACAAGCTATACTATGGTATGCATCATTGATGACACCATAACTGTTTCATTAGAGCTTTTCCACAACAATACTCCAACTGCGAGTGTTAGGAACTACTATAGATTTTAGTGCACATCTCGCCAAAACTTAACATTTGTACCCACAACTATTTGAGAGTACATGTTCTTTCTTACTCAGCATGAGTCCTATGATACTTTGCAAAAAATGCAAGACATTCTTAACTCCATTCCAGTGATCTATATCTGGACTGGACTTCTGCTAAAATATCCCGGATACGTAAGCTACATCAGGGTAAGTTCTTACTTGTACATTCATTAAGCTTCCAACAGCTGAAGCATATGGAACCATGTTTATTTGACCGATCTCATATCGGTTCCTGGAACACTGAAAGTTCCCAAATCAATTACCCTTGACTATAGGAACAGGCGTAGGTTTACTCGCATGCATACTTTATTTCTTTATAATCTTTTCTAAGTATGCCTTTATGATAGTCCTAATAGCCCTTTTCATCTATCTCGGTGAATTTCAACTCCTAGAACCAATGAGGCTTCACCAAGATCATTCACAATGAAACTTGAGGACAAAGACTTCTTCTCCAATGGCAGATTAACATTACTACTAGTGAGTAGGATGTCATCTATACACAGGATGTGACAAAAGAATTTTCCATTCTAGAACTTCGCATAAACGCTATTGTCCTTATTTTCTTTAAACCCAAACTTTCTTATTGTTTCATCAACTTCAAATACTACTGTCTAGAGACTTTTTTTAACCCATAAATGAATTTCTTCAGGCGACATCTCATAAGTTCTTTTTCTTTCATGACAAAAACCTTTGGGTTGTGCCATGTAAACGTTTTCATACAAATCCCCGTTGAGGAATGCCGTTTTTACATCCATCTGATTTAACTCTAAATCATAATGTGCCAATAACACCATTATGATTCTAAAAGAATTCTTGCATGAGACTGGAGAGAAAACTCTCATCGTAATCTATTCATTCTCTTTGCGTAAAGCCTTTGGCTATAAGTCATGCTTTATATCTTTCCACATTCCCTTTGGAGTCATATTTTGTCTTGTAGACCCTTTTCACAGCCTACTGTTTTGGCTCTATTAGGAATTTCTTTGAAGTCCCAAACATCGTTGTTATTCATCGAATTCATTTCAACTTCCATAGCTTCTTGCCATTCAAACGACTAAACGTTTCTCATGGATTCTTCAAATGAGGTGGGATCACCCTCCATTTGAATTTCTTCACTAATATAGACTTCATAGTCATCAGAAAACTGGTTTACTAATTCTTTGAGACCTTCTGGGGCCTCAGCTACTAGCACTTTTTATATGGGGGTGTTGTTGCTCTTTATTGCCAAGAGGCAATTGATTCTATAGGCTCCTATATCACAAGATCCTTGTTTACATTATTCATCTTCTTCGAAGAGCCAACAACAGGTGTTATATAAGTCATACAACATCAATAGATATTGAGAAATTCGTTGTTTTGAATCACTGAAGTGGGCACGTAGTCCCGCTTCTCTTCAAGTCATAGGTCTCTACATACCATGCTCCCCCAGATCATCTCATCTTTTATAAAGATAGTGTATCTTTCAATTTTTTATTTAGGTTCAATCTGTTAAAACCTTATATGGCGCTTTAAGCACCGCTTTAATATCTTTGATGGTGACTACGCTATCTTCCTCTCGGAACTTTCAAAAATCTAGGAATTTAGCTGTTTCTCTGCTTAGGGGTATCATTGTTATGACCGACAGTCACTGCCGGGTTCATAAACCCGGGGTCCCTCGTGGACCGGCCTCCCAACAAAGGTTTGGCCTAAGTAGACAAACGCATAACTGATGGGCCGGCCGAAGTACCTAAATGACAGGCCAAAGGGGCGATCGAATCTCCGACT